CTTATCTTCCAATCTTCTTGAAGGACACATTGCTGCTGAACTTGGTTTTCTTCACAAATTAGTATATCTTGATTTGGGAAGCAACCGGCTCGAGGGTGAAATTCCAGTGACGCTTTTCTGCAATCATTCTTCTTCTTCTTTGCAGTACATTGACCTATCTAACAATTCTTTAAGCGGAAAAATCCCTTTAGCAGATGGCTGTAAGCTTAAACAGTTGAGGTTTCTTCTACTGTGGTCCAATCATCTTGTAGGTCAGGTTCCTGCAGCCCTTGCAAACTCCTCAAGACTGGAATGGCTTGATTTGGAGTCTAACATGCTAAGTGGGGAGTTGCCATTGGAGATTATACAGAAAATGCCACAATTACAGTACCTCTACTTGTCCTACAATGGCTTTGTGAGCCATAATGGTAACACTAACCTTGAACCTTTTTTAACTTCTTTAGTTAATGCCTCTAACTTTCAAGAGCTTGAATTAGCTGGAAATAATCTTGGGGGAGAGATACCTCCTATTATTGGTAATCTTTCTACCAATCTTGTACAAATTCATTTAGATGCTAATCTTCTTTATGGTTCAATTCCTCCTCAAATTTCAAACCTTGTCAATCTCACCCTGCTAAACTTGTCTAGTAACCTTTTGAATGGAACCATCCCACCCAAACTGTGCCAGATGACAAAGCTAGAAAGGGTGTATTTGTCCAACAATTCATTCTCTGGTGAGATTCCACCCACTCTTGGTGACATTCCCCATTTAGGCCTTCTAGATTTATCGAAAAACAAGCTTTCTGGTTCAATTCCAGATAGTTTCGCAAACCTTTCCCAGTTAAGGAGGCTCTTGCTCTATGAGAACCAACTCTCAGGAACCATACCACCAAGTCTGGGAAAGTGCATCAATTTAGAGATTCTAGACCTTTCTCACAATCAGATTTCAGGGGTAATTCCTAGTGAAGTTGCAGGACTGAGGAGCTTGAAACTATACTTGAACCTGTCTAGTAATCACTTACATGGACCATTACCAATGGAGTTGAGCAAAATGGACATGGTGCTAGCAGTTGACCTATCTTCCAATAATCTTTCTGGTACAATCCCATCACAACTTGGGAGCTGCATTGCCATTGAGCACCTCAACCTTTCGGTAAATTCCTTAGAAGGACCTCTTCCGGTTTCAATAGGAAAGTTGCCTTATCTTCAAAAACTTGATGTATCTTCAAACCAATTGATTGGAGAAATACCAGAATCTCTGCAAGATTCTTTAACTCTGAAGAAAGTCAACTTCTCTTTCAACAACTTCTCTGGGAATGTGTCAAGCAAGGGGGCCTTTTCTTCACTCACCATAGACTCTTTCCTCGGAAATGTTGGTCTCTGTGGATCAATAAAAGGCCTGCCAAACTGCAGGAAAAAACATGCTCATCATTTGGCTATTCTGTCAATTCTCCTGTCATTACTTATCACTCCCATCTTTTGCATATTCGGGTACCCCCTCATGCACAGGTCAAATTTCCAAAGGCACTTGGCAATTTTCGACCATGGGGATTTGCGGGATGATGAAGAAGAAGAGAAGAAAGAACTCAAGTACCCAAGAATCTCATATGAGCAGCTCATTGAAGCCACTGGTGGTTTCAGTGCTTCAAGCTTGATTGGCGCAGGCCGGTTTGGGCATGTCTATAAGGGTGTCCTTCAAGATAACTCAGTAATTGCTGTGAAGGTATTGGATTTGAAGACAGATAGAGAGATTTTAGGAAGCTTTAAAAGGGAATGCCAAGTCCTGAAGAGGACTAGGCACAGAAATTTGATTAGAATCATCACAGCCTGCAGTAGGCCGGATTTTAAGGCTCTTGTTCTGCCATTGATGTCAAACGGGAGCCTGGAGAGGCATCTTTACTCAAGCCATGGATTGAGCCATGGGTTGAACTTGATTCAGTTGGTGAGCATCTGCGATGATGTAGCTGAAGGAGTGGCCTATTTACACCATCATTCTCCTGTTAGAGTTGTACACTGTGATCTCAAACCAAGCAATATTCTACTAGATGATGACATGACGGCTTTGGTTACTGATTTTGGAATTGCAAGATTAGTGAAAGGCAGTGATGAGAATATTCGACCGAATGACTCAACATCCTTCAGTTCAGCAGATGGCTTGTTATGCGGATCCATTGGCTATATTGCTCCTGGTATGTACTTTTTTTTTTCCTGTCATATTATAGTGTTGCCGCTAAAATGGTGATTTACATTTCTATTATGTACCTATTTTCCTTCAATTACTTGACCAAATACAGAGTATGGGATGGGAAAATGCGCTTCTATTGAGGGAGACGTATTCAGTTTTGGGGTCCTTTTGTTAGAAATCGTTACCGGAAGGCGACCAACCGACATCCTTTTTCATGAAGGTTCAAGCTTGCATGAATGGGTAAAAAGTCACTACCCCAGCAGGGTTGATTCTATAGTTCAACAAGCGATAGATAGGTGTGTCCCAGATTCAATGCCTAAGCAATATAACAAAATATGGTGGGATGTCGTTCTGGAGTTGATTGAGCTTGGCCTTATGTGCACACAGTACAATCCTTCAATGAGACCAAGTATGCAAGATGTAGCTCATGAAATGGGTCGGGTGAAGGAATATATCTCCAATCCTTCATCACTGTTGATTGAAGAAGTTGGCCTTAAAGTTGATGGACTCTGACTCTGGGATGGTGATGGAAGTAGTTTAATTGAATTTGAACTTTCATGTCTGATAATTGAATTCATTTGTTTGATTTTTATTTGTAATTTTTGGTTAAAGCAATTGGCAATTGTTTTCTTACTTGTTTTAACTTTTAACCATGTCTTATACTTATTCGATCGTATTATTATGCAATTCAGACTACATTTCACTGCCTTCTCGTAACTCCAAGTGCTGACATGAAAATTCAGTAAAATGTTATACTAAGCTAACCATAAAGAAGAGTTTCTTTCACTAGTCAACAAACTAGTGCTTGCTTCATATCAGAACCATCCAAACACAGACTTTGTTGCTCATTACTTCAATAATAGAACTAATTCATGTAATAAGATTGATATCCAGAGTCCAAAAAGGCATTTAGTTCTCTTTTTGGCCTACCCTACTACTAATGCTTTCATACTTTCTTTCATCTGTTCAAATATTTTATGTAAAAACTTTACTGAGTCTGATGATTCGATATCCACTACTTGCAGCCTCTTCAATTGGATCACGTACCTCTCCTCCTCCTTGGCATTTCTGCATCGTATTCGTACGTGTTAGAAATGCAGAACTTTTGTATAACTGCAGGAACTCTTCACTTGATTGCAGATACTGTTGCAGAAAGTGAGAACTTCAGGCACTTTCGTTTAACTATAAATAAACGATGTGCTGGTCAGATAATAAAAGAAACGAAAAGAAGCTTTAGGGGTGGGTAGGTGCAAATGATGATAAAACACAGTGCTCGTTCCACTTGCAGTAAAGAATTACATGCCAAACTCTTCTTTGTGCATGAAAGGGGAAGGCCAATGTGTCATGGTGCTCCAAGATGGTGACCTCCACAAGCAAATATTACTTCAAGCATCCATCTGTTTTTGGGTGATCTCCATAGAAAACTGCCCCACTAATACTATGTGCAATGCAAGTGAAACTCCTGTCTCTTCATTATAAATTAACTCTTGAATCACTGCAAAACACTTATTTTAAATTAAAATTTATTCTTGACTTACATATGCAATGCATAATCTAAACTTTTGGAACTCAGCAATCTTTCAGTGGAAGTTAATCAAATGATGTAATCCTCAAATGAAGAATCTTTATTTTACGTCCTTGATATAAAAGCGCTAGCAAAAAAAAGTTAGTTTTTTGGTAACAAGTTATTCAGTTCCATGCGAATAATTCGAACAAGTTGAGACTTACAAATCCATAAATCCAATATGCAACCTTCACAACTTCAACTTCTCTTCATCAATGGTTGGAACGTTGTGAAGAAATCTGGAGTTTTAAAATGAAAGATCTATATATGACTACATGCCTAAGAAAGCATTGATAGAGGTCAACAATACTGAAAATAGAATTAGTCCAATCACTTATGTAATGTCCCGACACAAACTATTTTGGCAATAAAAACATGGACCCTGTAAAGACAAGTCTCACTTTTTCTTTTTAAACTTCTAAGTAATTGTTCTTTTCACCACTGTGAAATCCTTCTTATGATCAAACAAGGTGACAAGATGAAAACATGCAAAATAAATGATGTTCCTTGGAGCAGTTCTGCTTGTTCTATACTATCTTCCTCCAACATATCACCCACTTTCATTAGCCCATGTGAGCAAAGAGATGAATGTATGGGCATACCTGCAATTTAGATTTTCTCCCTTCTATATCCTATCCTTGCTGTGCTAGGGATCCCAATGATCTTGAAGGCATAACTTCTAAGTTAGAACGTTCGTCGAGATACTTAATCATTTGGGAGGAAATGAGATAACAAATAGACTATGGAATAGCCTCCTTTTTCTGAGTTCTTCTTGATCCTCATAGGAAAGCACCTCTTGCATTAAATTTCTCCCAATATACTAAATTCCCACGCATTTTGTTAATATCTTTCCACTATTAAAAGTTTATCACTCCAGTTTTCTGGAATTAAACATCAATTAGATTTCCTGGGAAATACTCCAGGCCATGGCATGCCTTGAAATCTGACATAGTGGTTATGCATGCTCAAAATGAGACACTGTCTTCTAAGACCTAATTGTGGTCACTATTACATGATTACTCTTTCATGGAAACACATAGCAGAGTTGGTTTTAATCTCATGAAGATTGTATAGAAAACAAAAGGAGGTAGGGAGATTTCTGCCGGAAATTCTGATACACCAAGGGCACTCAACTGATTTCCGCTATTATCTAATGTTGAATGTATGCAGAAGCTTTCTTGCAGTTATGCTCAAAAGTTGAATGTGTCACGTAACTTTTTTTATATGGAGGGAAAATGTAAAACATGGTATCTATGTTGAGAAATAACTCACTTACAACCTGCATTTCAATTTCAAAATAATAAAATGTACATGGAAGCATTCCTTGTACAATCCTAATTCAGAAGAAAGATTTGTTTGTACTGTAGTAAGACTCAATGTACACATTGAAAATTTTACATTGTATTAGGAGCTATACAAATCAAATCAAAGAATCTAATTTATTAGTTCACACCACCCACTGGAGAAGAAAAGGTCAAAGATATTCTTACGGAATCCTTTCTGCATAGCACCTTTAAAACTGATGATGCATGAAGTTCATCAGCGACACCGAATTGCTTGGTCAAAGCCAAAAGTGTAGCATTGCCTGTTCCATAAAATTGAGATTTGGGAATAAGTCATCAAACTTTGCATTTAACTTTGCATTCAAGGTGAACCAACATTCCAGCTTATACTTAGCAAGCCATGCTCAAAGACCCTCACAACTAAAAGTGTATGTGCATGTGTATCTCAGTCCACAGCAGAGAGAGAGAGAGAGAGAGAGAGTGAGAGAGTGAGTAAATACCCTAAGGAAAAAATCAAGAAGGTCATACCTCCATAACAGAGTGCAAGGGCTCGTCATCCTGCGGAGGGGGTTTCTTAGGCTTCCAACTACGCATTTCAGACTGTATTAAATTAAGATGCTCATGTATCTCCTGAAACAGCTTCAACTCCTCTTCTCCTGCATGACTAATTTCTTGCCTTATACTATTTCTCTCTCCCTCAAGCTGCTCTATTCTCCTCCACAGCTGTTGAAATTTGGCTTGCTGAGATTCAGTAACCCCAGCCAATCTCTCCCTCAAATTAGAGTCAGCAGTACTTATTCCATCTCTTGGTTTAAATATTTTATTCTCTTGCTTCTTGCAATGCAAAATTTTCCTTACCCTGTCTGTTTCATCTTTAGCATATATTTCACTGGTCTCATCCAACACCAAATCTGGCTTTCCCAGCCTGTTCTCGACTTCCACAGTCAACTTACTAAGTTCTTTCTTCTCACCTTCACAAGCTTTAGCATTCTCATAACTTTGTGGGACTTCAAAAACATCATGGACACTTGAGGAGCATGAAGGACTAACAATTGCCTCCCTTTCCTGTAGAATCTCACTTTGCTTAAGCTTATCCAAACTGGCAATAATTTCTTCGCTTGTTGGGTTACGTGATGTGTTTACGCTTACTTTTGGAACTGAGGGTAATGAACAAGTCCTGGACGGACCCTTCAAGAGTAAAGATTTCTCCCTACCATAATCTTTACAATCTGATATCTCTTTCACTCGTGCATCTAACTTCTTAATCTGCTCCCAGATTGTATTCATGTTCCCACCTGCATAATTTATTGATTTCTTCTCTACATCTAAGCTCTGGAAATTGACTTCCTGGTCCACCTTTTTCTCTGGCTTTTTTTTAACACATTCTGGCTTAGGGATCATGGGTCTGTCTCTTTCTCTCTCTCTGTCTCTTTCTCTTTCTCTTTCTCTTTCTCTTTCTCTTTCTCTGTCTCTGTCTCTGTCTCTGTCTTTATCCGTAGTGCTTTTCTTGTTGAGGAATTCCTTGAGTTCAAGTGGAGGCAGAGAGTTGATTCTTCTTATAGTCCCACTAACACCTGTTTCCGCATTGCCAAGATCACTTCTTTGAAACAACAAATTCTCTGGATATACATTTTCACCGGCACCTAATTCAGTGCTGCAACCCATGCTTAAAAGTTTGTACCTATAAGCCTGAAGTTGGAACTCAAGAGAAGCAATTTCCATTTCTTTCTGATAAATGAGATCTTCAAATATTGCAAGAGCTTCCTCAGCATGACATATCTTTTCCTCTGCCAATCTCTTATATTGACTTGCTTCCATCTTCATGGCAGACTTTTCTCCTTGCAGGCGCAGTATCATGGATAGAGCTTCATCAGCTGCAGTAGATGATGCTTCTCTTTCCTGATCCAGTTCAGAGTAAAGCTTTTGCAGTAGTTGTTGTTGAGCATAAAGCGCTTCAGTTAGGGCTGTTATATCAGCTTCAGGCATCCCAGGCATACTACCCTCGGCCATCTCAGTTAATAGAGGAGAAATCAGACTGGATTCTAGGAACAAAACAAGTGCAAATTTATCAGCTATTCAGAATTACCATTATCTTCTTCAAGATTCACGTAGCAGATAGCAAAATTGAATCAATCACATGCCACAGGAACAATGAGATAGACACTAGTGCCTAGAATAAAGTGAATACAACTCCAGTTAATTTTCCTAATCCAAGAACCTGATTTCCACACAAAAAACATTACCTGATGGTTGTGCAGAAGAAGGCCTAAACTTGATCCTCAGAACAAAACCCAGTTGAGAAAAATCACTGCAGAAAGAATCAAACCTGTCAAGTTTTTATTTTTTCTGCTACAACAACAAGAAGAAGAAGAAGAAAACAAATTACAGGAAACTTGTTTCTCCGGACCAAAGATTCTATGGTTTACAAAATGGAATGAAACCCATTCATGCTTTTCTCTTATGGAAGAGGCATAAAAACAAATCCAACTTTTTCTGATGTGCACTCAATGACAAAATGGGAAGCAGCAAAGAAACATCGCGAGTGCTTATAGCTTCCCAGGTTTTAAATTCTTCATTCATTTTTTTAATTTTGTAATTTTGTTTATGGAAAGTATAGAAAAGGCTAAGGTATACATACCAAAAATGAATGTTTGTGTTTGCTAGCAACAGCTTGGCGCTTGGTTTGGCTTCCTTATAAAGCAGCAGCATTCATTTTGAAATATCTGAAACAGAAAGGCATTGAATTGAATGAATAGGTTAAGAAACAAAACTGCCCTTTGCCTCCTTGTAACCACGAAGGTGGTGGATGATTGATACATGACATTGCCAAAGACAATCTCTTTTCTACCAACCAAATACAAAGATCAATCGAAACGAGGTCGTTCTTACCTTTTGTCCCTATAAAAACATTTCCTGCCCGATTAGAGCTCCAATTTGTCCACCAATCAATCACTGTCTCCTTAATGGACTAAAATCCAATTGTCTTAATCATAGCAAGGTGGGCCCCCACTTCTTCCTTTTGTCCCGCAACCGCCATTAAAAGGGTCCTTTCGATTTTTCAAAAAGTCGTTTGCAGCTAGTTTAACGGCTACAAATTAGAATACATGGGCTAGAAGGCGAGGCAGAAGGTCTTCTTCTTCTTCTTCTGCCGACTACAGACCGACCATCTCATATATGTTACATATATGTACTCAGCTTAAATAAAAGATTCTTTCTTATTTTTTCCCCTTTTGGGTAAATCCTTATCTCCCTTCCCATCTGGATGGAATCTCATGGAGGGGTCAACTATGCTATTTTAACAATCATGATTTATCAGAATCCAATGGGCGCGATGGTAATAGTAAACACACCCTGGATCTTCATTTCACATTGTATCGATTCTTTTATTGCCCTGGAATTTTAGTACATGTGATGTGACACTTAAAATTTTAAATCTCAAGTTTAGTCCAAGTCCATACAGGGAAAATAAATGATAAAAATAGCTTCTTGTACGTGGTCCAGTACGTTTTTTTTTTCCTTCTCAGTTTTATTTGGTTATGAACATGATACCTGCCTGCATCATATTCTTATTATGTAGGACATGTTACATTAAGTATGGCTGGATGGGATTATACTCTCTTTTTTCATATTTAATTTACGCAAAAGTAATTAGCAGAGAAAAGAAAGAAGCACAGGCGTGCTTGACATCCTCATTAACGGCCAACAAAGTATAAAGAAAAAAAGGTGAACAATAATTCAAGAATAAGCATGGCCCAGAATAAATTCATCATGGCGGGCTTCAGTCCGATCCAGATTCCAGGCGGTCTTACTTTAACCAACTCAGTGATAAATCCTAATACGAGAGAGAGAGACGTTACGCCAAAGACAATTTTTTTATATATAAGCGATATTGGGAGGGGGACTCGAACTGGGGCCACAGACTCCTAACTACTTTGCTAAGCCTTGCTTAAGCCAAACTTATTAAAGGAAGAAAAAGGATACACGAACAGAAATGATTCAAGAAGAAGAATATTTAATCAGCATGGTTAGCTTTATCTGAATGGTGGACACGGATTTGAATGCCAATGCCATGCATGATGATGCATCTGAAAATTAAGGAACCATTTGTCCCTAAGTCCAACGGCAGAAAACTGTCCATAAATTACGTTATTCAACAAGCAGAAGAACTAGCAATCAACCATTTGCCATCTACCACGTAATTCTAAAGGCTCAAAGCTGTGTAATAGAAATACATTGTACTACTGTTCTATGAACTAGTTGGCAAAACGAGCAATGCCACTCACGCATAAGTGCTTATACTGTTCTACAGACTTACAAGGAACACACAGTGGACGTTGTGCCTCCGGCTTTTAAGCCTGGCCAACTTTAACTTTGAGATTTGTCAGTCTCATTTCAATCCACAGGAACCTCAACCTCCATCTTCAAATCAGAGTTGCAAAGAGTCTGTAAACAATGAGGAGTAAATTTTTACATTGTTCACTTATTTTCAGCTAATATATACGCTTTCTACAAAATTTATTGCATAATTAGGAATTTAATGCAAGTATAATCATTTCATAGACAGATGAAGAAAAGTCCCTTCAGATGTGAATTGGAAATGAAAAATCAGCTGATGCATACTTCAAATAATGTTTGCAAAAGTATTTACTAGTCTGATTAGAAAAGAAAAAGGTAAAAATAGAGGAATATCAACAAAAGTTAAAAACACGTTTACAGAAAAGCAAACCAGAGGGGAAACAAAAACATCTCAACTTCTTGGGATATAAACCTTCAAATCATTCTAGCATGACACTAAGTTTTATCACATTTATGCTAGACCCAACAACTGTGTGACTTCAATGAGGATAACTTAATAAATTCAGAAAAAATTTAGAGGGACCTCCATCCCCAGCAACCCAGCCCCTCTCATACATAGAGATATCTCTCTCTGTGTGAATAACCTACCGTTGCAAAGGTAAATGCAGCTATTACTTCTAGCCTTAATGAAAATCTGACAGGTTAATGCCACACCCATACCCCTTGAACTCCATGCATGGCAATGAAATGAGAAATCGAAGTTCTCTTTCCTTTATTCAATCCATGGTTCCATGAACATTGTAAAAATTGCTTCCAAAAGCAACCCAAGTTATACTAATCAGAGCACATCTCATTGCCTTCTATGGCATGATTAGAAAGGGCAGCGTCAAAACAGAGTTATACAAGTCAAGCGATTCAAAATTCATAACACAATCACTAAGATGAAACAAGCTAAGCGGAGTAATGAAAATCATACAAGTGAGGTCATGCAAGACAAAGACCAGACTAGTTATAGATCTACAATAACGTGCATTAATTACTAGACAGAACTTATAATGTTGTGGTACCTTCACAAAGTCAGATATGCTTAGCAAAGAATCCTTTGTATAGCCTGATTCCTCTAGGACATGGGTCAACACTTGCTGCAGAAAGATGTAAACGCATAACCATTATATCAAACGCATAAATAGGCACCTTCTCAGACATTGTAATGAAAAGTTTCAGAGCAGCATAAATGTATTAATCTTGTATGAAGAAAGATGAAAGTCATGTTTTCAACAGTTAATTCTTATTTTTTCTTGTATTAAGAAAACCAATACGTAGTATTTGGAAACTAGGTCTCAAAGAAGGTACTTTCATGAAGTTAGTCAGTCTTCTGATTTCTGATTATAATAATTTTCCCCTACTTTGCCCAAGAACCGAGTGTCACATCATCTCTGAAATGAAACCTGAATCCTAGATGGAAAACCAGACTACTTTTGATTGATAACTTTAAAACAAATGGTGAATAGCTATATAACAGGTAACCTCAACATAGTCCAAATAAACAAATTGGCGATGAGTAAAGATACTTCACAAAAAGAAATTTTTTGAACTATTGAATCATTGCATAAACTCAAGTGCCTCAAGCCTTGTTACCAAGCCCAAATCAGAGCATAAGAGAAATAAAATATGGAGACAAATTTGTGATAGAAACCAACCTCCCTCTGTTGCTCAGATATGAACTGCCCCGTCAAATCCCGTAAAACATCCAACATATCACTGAATGCGACTTTCCCATTGCAGTCTGAATCATATACCTTAAAAATAACTGCAAAACAGATAGACACCCCAAACTGCAACTCAGAAATAGAGAACAAAACAAGCAAGCAAAGCTCATAGTAGCCCCAGATTTCTGAAGTGACACATTAATAAAGAAATATTACACTTAATTTTTTGCTGCAAGGTTGCACGAGAACTGAATGCTGACAAGAAAGCTACGAATTCCTTAAAGTTCAATCCATACAACATCTTCAGCAATCTCTGAAAGATTTACAGCACTTCATTGTTACTCATATAAAATATTTGCATCGTTCGCCAATACATGATCACATGGTGTGCTCTATCAAAATAAAGCATCAATCTTTGAAATCTACTGCCCAAGTTTTCAGCCAATGATCTACGTCACATTATAAAAAGATTTAACCTTTAATCCTTTATGTGTTTGTACCTGAGAAAGAGGATTGACGGCGAATTCAGGTACGGACAAGAACTCATCGGCGGAGATGAAACCTCCGCCACTGCGATCGAGCTGACAAAACCTCTGATACAGAGAAACTATCTCCTGCTGCGAAACTTCAAATCAAATCAAATCAAATCAAATTAAATCCAACAGCTCAGAAATACTAAGCTCCTTGATCCACAAGGGGGAACTAAGAAATTGGCGAATGGATTAGCAACTTACATGTGTGGTTACAGTGGTCCTGGACTTCTTCGATGTCGTACTGAGTGAGCATCGAGGATGTGTTGCCCATGGTAGCGAGGAAGAGGCGATTGGGTGCGGTGAAGTCTACAGAAAGCCGAGTGGAAAGCCCTAACGAGAAGCTGCTGAGCTGACAAGACAAGCACTTGTAAAGAAGCCGCCACCTTTGTAGGTACAACAGCCAGCCGAGCGGGTCACAGGTTGACCGGTGATGGAGTTAATGTGATTTACTGGTTTTCTCCGGCTTGTTTGGATGGAAGTTTAGACTTAATCCAGCCGAGAACACCAGGCTCCGATTGATATTTTTACTGTCTACCTAAACACCAACAGAGAGATTCAGACCAAAAAAAAAAAAAAAACACCAACAGAGAGAGATGGGAGATTTGCTTAAAAGCAATTAATTAAAGAGAAACCGGTGTTTTAGATTAGGGAAGGCAGCCCATAATAAATAGGGAAATTTTATTGGCACCTCATTAATGACTATTTGCCACCCATATTAATTTTAAAAATTAATTAAATTTGCTTTTCAACGATTATCATGTTTGAAATTCATTTTCGTAAAACCAGGTTCGAACTATATATCCACAAAGTTGAAATTAAAATTAAAATCAAACGATGGTTTTTCAAAATTGAAATCAAATCTTGACTTTTCGGAGGATTTTGAGGTTAGATAGGATTATGAAAACTGGACAGATCAACGATGGCTAAGGCAATGGGGTGTGCGATGGGGTTGAGGTTTGCTGCGATGGGTTGTGCAATGGCTCTGCTTCAAATGGGATGGGGTGTGTGATGAAGTTTGTTGCAAATCGAATGGATCGTGCGATGAGGTGCGTCTGCAAGAGATCGTAATTTCTAGTCTTATCATATTTTTTATACCACAATTTTATACCACATGATGTGGCAGCTGATGTATACATATCACGTCATGTAAAATACTAGTTTCTGTTTTTCTAATTTTCTTTATTAAAATACACTTCATTAATTTAATTGATATGACATATGATATAGATATGCCACATTATGTGGTATAGAAATGTGGGATAATAATGTGGTAAGTGTAGTATTACTCTTTCTAATGAGGTGGAGTGTGTTTGAAAGAAGAGAGAGTTTTTGATGGGTGGGGTGGGATTTACATAAGAAGTTAGGGAGTGTGGTTCATGAGGGCAATTTAGGAAGAAAATGGGGTATAATGAGTAATTTTAAATTTTACTAAAATTCAGTTGAGTGTAAAGAAAATGTGAGACACTCAACGTGAGATTTAAATAGCAAATAATAGGGTGCCAATAAAATCACCCTAATAAATAAGAGATTAGGGAAGGTAAGCTGGCTCCTATAATAAATAAATAAATAAATATTTTCGGTGTGACGGTGAGAAAATATACCCTTTTGTGTTTTCTCTGGCGTCTGAGATAACAACTCCAGACTCAAAATCGAGAGAAGAATCAACCTGACCGGTGGAGGGTTAAGTCTGAGTCAGCAGCCAAACACCAAAAAATCGTCAGACGTAGGAGAACCTGATTCGAGTGCAGCCAGGGACAGCGAAAGAAAGAGGCTGAAGTTGATTTCTGACCGTAGACTTTGGCCAGCGAACAAAGCCACCGCTTCGAGGTAGGAGAATCTTAACTCATTACTAGCAAACAATAAAAAGATTAATATTTCTCAAAATCGATCCTTTCGTCTCTCTCTTTCTATGTTCATAGTGGATACAAAATACCCAGATTATTTTTTAATGTTTTAACTTCTTTTTTTCAATTCCATAAAAAATAAAACTTTGGTGGCGGAGCCACCATGGGTTCACTGGGGTCAAGTTACCCCTTGGCAGCCATGAAAGTGGCTCTGTAGGTCCTGTTGTGCTGCTGGTGTGACCCCCTGGACTTGCCCACCAGCTGTTCGACGGCAAGCTCCAAAGAGCTTCCCCATGTTTCAGCAACAGAGTGAAATATGTGCGAAAGAGTGAGAAAACGTTAGACAAATGCGGCAGAGTGAAACATATGCAAAAGAGTTGCCCACCACATGTTCGATGGGAAGCTCCAAAGAGCTTCCCCATGGTTCAGAAGAGAGCAAGTATGCGAAAGAGTGAGAAAAAGTTATACAAAAACAACAATTGAAACATATGCGGCTTTGTGTTATTGTGTTCGCCTAAATTCACTACTACCAGAATCCTTGTTTCTTTGGATTTCTGTAGTGGTTTGAATTTGATTTTGTTTCATGAATTTTTTTCAATCCTTTACTTTCTCTTGATTGGTGTTTGACTCTCACTCAAAGTTCGACGTGTCCACACTGCAAATTTAAGTTTGTATCTGTTGTGCACTGGGCAACTCTAGACTCTAGAGTAATGTTTGATTTTGTATGCTTGCTGATTGCTCTTGGGGTCTGTATTATCCTGAAAATACCAAGTTGAAGCAATAATTTGTGTCTGTAATCTATGGAAATGATTCAGTTACCAACAAATTTACCTTTCACAATGTACATGCTTCGGTTCCTTCATCCCTCCCTTCCGTACGTAAGAGGTTGTATATGTTTGTTTAGTTATGAGTAATTAAGGAAAAGTATAAGGGATGGAATTAATTAATACTATGTTTTAACATCCTGGATCTGCCACTATGTTGAAGTGAAAAATTAGTAGGATACAATTGCAAGTGAAGTAAATCAAATAGTTATCTTCTTGTTAGATTATTTGATTAATTTTGTGGTGCATAACATCAACATGTCATATTTAGTTCTGATTTAACAGGATTTCCTTGGCAGTGTATTGAAGAGAGATTTCCTGAGTCCTCCTGCCCCTATTCAGTTCAGAGTTGAAGAATGGTGTGTACATGATTCTCTTTATCCCTTTCGTTTCGTTACATTGTTGGCACATAAGATAATTGATAAATTAATCCTGTAGTGAGTTAAGGGGATAGGGACTTTGTTTATTTATTTAATTGCTAATAAATCATTATATTGTAAGGAAATTGTGCTTAGAGAAAACTTGGGGGATCATTTTGATCATCTAATTGAAATTTTGGCGATCAAAGTTGCATGATATATGATAGAGTGGGAATGTATTGAAATACAAGGTTAAAACAATTACAATGTGTGAACAACCTTCAAATATGGCTTTCATGTCTGACTTTATAGCAAATCCACGTCTTCCCCTATTGGAGGAAGCAAATGCTGCCAACTTGTGGAACATGATACAATGTGTCTTTGTTTAAGTAATTCCACATGTAAAGCAATGTTAGTCTTGCTTTTGGACTAAAATTGCTGTTGATTTTGGCCATTACTTCGGTTTGATTTTAGAGCAAGTTGTATGGAATATAAGACTAAAGGAAAAGATTAGTGGTTTTCGTTGATTATTAGTGGAAAAAAACTGTATGCTGATTTGTTTGTATCTTTTTTTCTTTTCCAGGCCATGTATATCCGTGTTAAGCGTAGTAAGACAACTTACTTTATCCAGTGTGAACCAACTGAGACAAGTTTAGATATTAAGCAAAAGTTGCATGATCTTATTGATCAACCGGTAAGTGATCAGCGCTTGATCCTAGTCAGTACTGGGGAAGTACTGGAGGATTCAAAGTCATTGGCAGATCTGAAGGTACGAAACAAAAAGTACAGTTCACCTCTCTCTCTCTCTCACTCTCACACACACACACACACACACACTTAACTTAGAGATTCACTACTACAACCAATTTTCATCACATCGACATTCCAAAATTTTATGTTCATTGAGCTCCAAAAGTGGATGATGTCTTCAATGATATCTTCATGTCTTTTCAGGTTGAGAATGATGCCGTTGTGGCACTGACCTTGAGAAAAGGTTGAATCTCTTCTCCTTTTGGTTTTTTGGTCCCTCTGGTTTTATGCATCTTACTTGTATTATTCTCACTGCTGGCTCATCTAAGTTAGTATTTGAAAACAAGGATTAGAAGGTTGGATTATCTAATATAAAAGAAAAGTATAACTTTGCCTAGTTTCATGGGCAGAAGGCATCTTACCATGAGTTGAGTTATGAGACATCAAAGATTGAGGAGTTGCCTAGTTTGATGGGAAAAAGTTTAGGGGGGTGCTCTTTCTTAAGAGTTGGGTTATGGTCTGAAGTATTTCAGACACTGTTTGAGGACCATTTTGATTTAGTCATGTTTTTGTAATGTTCTGATGAAGTTGGCTTTTCCAAATTAATTAAGCTTTCATACAATCATTATCGTATGAGAACGGCAATTGATGATGTGTGAAAATGACAAGGAGTAGGCAGTCTTTTCTCTTTTTTCTTTTTTCTTTGCAATAGTTTGATTAATTTGTATACGATCTTTTGTATAGTTCTATCATTGCTTGAGCTTGGATTTATTCATAAGACAGTTACAACGTCTTTAGATGACTTGTTACTGATTTTTATTATCCGCCCTACTAGTTTTTATGCTTGAAAGTTTGATGGGACCGACTGCTCTACTTTTATATTAGGTAGACCAGATTGTGTCTTTTATCTTATGTTTGCTTGGGAGCAGCCTAATAAAACTTTTCTCCATTGCCTTCAGATGACAATGAGTTTGAAGAGGTCAACATTGTACGGGCAGACGACTTCTTTCAATCTCGTGATGCAGATGCAGGCAATTGGTGAAGTCGGAAATCTTGCTCCGTAAAAAGCTTACGAGCTGCAATGCAAGCCTGCAACCTATCAATTGCCGCCATAGTCCATCTGCTTAGATTGTTTCCTGCTCGTGCTGGGATTTGTGGACAATAATTTTCAAAAATGAGTTCTGTTAAAGGTCTGTAGATGAAACATTTCATCCATGAAATCGACAGCATGAAGTAGTATTTATATGAAATAACAAAAGAAGATGTGCAATGATACAAGAAAAAATTGCTCCCGCTCATTGGAAATAAGATAAATAGAGAAAAGAAGTTAGTCCTACTTTAAATGAACAATTAAGAAAAAAATTGACTTTTTCTTTGGGGGTATACAGAAATTCTGACTTTAAATGATGGAGAATAAATAAATTAAAATTAAAATTTTGATAGTCAAAAGTTCTTCAACCAATGAAAAAGCAGAATACAAATAGAGTATAGCCGCACGGCTATACTCTGTCCACAACACGCTACGCGCTAGCCTGGTCTTTTTTACATAAATAGTATAGCCGCGTTCTATTTTTATTATAAAAAAGAGTATAGCCGCTCGGCGGTGTTGTCTTTTCACTTCTCATGTGTGGGTCGTACTGTATGTGTGGCATATGGGATAAACGCCATGTCGTATTAATTCCTTATCCCAAACCATAGCTCACTACTCAGAAGCGCGACTCTCCGGTCTCCACAGTGCTCTGTGTAAACTAAAGCCATGTCCCTCCTTCCCTCCAACTCCAAGCTTGGCTCTGTCCACCTCCATGTCCAGTGTCTCCAACCTCCAAACCCTCTCCCTATGCGTGCACTCCCTTATCATCGTCGCCAAACACTCCGAGTCCTTAGCGCCAAGAGGACCGGCAAACAGAGGTACCCATCAGAGAAGAAGGAGCTCAAATTGAAGCACCAGGAAATCGTAGGGGAAGTGAAGAACAAGTTCGCGGGTGTTTGGAGGCTTTCCAAGCTCGGAGTTCCCGTCCACAAGGACCCTGGAAAGGACTTTCTCGGCGTCTCCGAGGGCTTGCTTGAACAGATTGCCAAAGTGCTCGAGTTTCCGGTAAAAGCATTTGGGGCAGCACTTTTGTCTATGTAAAGAAGCATTTGTGCAAGTTGCTACATTTTTTATATATTCATCATATCTTGTTGCCACTCTTTCATTTCAGGTTGCTTCAATGCTGCCGACAGAGGCGTTCACGGTGGTTCGGAAATCTTTTGATGCAAGGAAGGTATGATATGTTGTGTGTCATGGAAATTTTTTTGATTGATGTTAGGAGGTTAGAGTCTTGCAGAAATGGCCATTTGCATCCTATCTGTCTGTGAAATTGTTTGGTAAAAGCCAAGTTGGACTAGTTTCAATTTGGTTACCCATCAATCAAGTAATGCGCTTTTCTCTTCCTCTTATTATTTCTTATCTAGAGGTTGAAAGAACCCAAATTCGTGTACGTTGTCGAAATGGATGTCAACAAACTTCTGAGTCTAGAGCCTCGGGCTTGGGATTTCATTTCTGAGTTGCAGCCTAAAGTTGGGCTGGTAGAACACATGCCTGAAGCAAATAAATCTGGAGATTTGATCAGTATCATACATGGCTTTGAAAATGTACATCAACGTACAGTTTCAAGAGAAAGTGCGCACAACATGAACAATGGGTCCCAAGGATTATACACACATCCGACGGCTAGAAAACCAAAAATTGCAGTGGTGGGTAGTGGACCATCAGGGTTGTTTGCCTCCCTTGTTCTTGCGGAATTTGGTGCAGATGTCACCTTAATAGAAAGAGGTCAGCCCGTTGAACAAAGGGGCCGAGACATTGGTGCTCTGGTTGTCCGCCGAATGTTGCAAACGGAAAGCAATTTTTGCTTTGGGGAGGTTATACTTATAACTTGATTCACCTTGTGCTCTTACTTATCTCTGTTTTCCTGCCTCGATAAAAACATGTGCCTTTATGTTACACACAGACACGCACATACACATGTTTACCATTGAGTCATTTATCGAGGACTTATTCATGGCAGGGTGGTGCAGGTACATGGAGTGATGGAAAGCTGGTGACTAGGATTGGAAGAAACAGTGGCAGTGTTTTGGCGGTCAGAACCATTCTCTATCCTTTTGATTGCTTTGTTTCGACAGAAAAAAAATATCATTTTGATTGTCTTCCCTTTGTGTAATTTGGACGGTGAAATACAGAGCTGTCAAGGCTTAGATAATAGACAATGTAGCCTTCTCTCTCTCTCTCTCTCTCTCTCTCTCTCTTCTTTCAGGTGACTAGTATCACTTAGCCGCCATTACCCATCCTTTATGTGGGTTGATTCAGATTTATTTACTTCTCAGGTTATGGAAACTTTAGTTCACTTCGGAGCTCCTGAGGGAATCTTGGTTGACGGAAAGCCTCATTTGGGGACAGATAGATTGATTCCATTACTTCGCAATTTTCGGCAACATCTACAAAATCTGGGTGTTAGTGACACTTTTTTTTCTTTCTAACTAAATCAAATGCATATTCTTAGATTTATGTTGCTTACGGCTTACATTTCTTATACTTTTAATAATTGTTTTTTGGCATGCTCAGGTTACCATCAAATTTGGGATGAGGGTAGATGATCTCCTTGTAGATAACGGACAAGTTGTGGGTGTCAAAGTTTCGGATTCAGTTGACAGACAGTCTAATACCCAGAAATGGGGATATGATGCTGTTGTTCTAGCTGTTGGGCATTCTGCACGTGATATCTATCAAACTCTTCTATCTCATAACATAGACTTGGTCCCAAAAGATTTTGCTGTGAGTTCATTTTCTCCCCCTTTCATATAGATTTTTATTTATTTATAGTCAAAACCCCTTTCATAGAGATTATTCAAAGAAACTTTGTTGTTTATCTATTTATGGATCTATTGTGTGCATGAATCCTCCAAATCAACTGGCCACTGTAACCTACATTTATCCAATACTTTGTCTTCCAGAAGTTTCTGGCACTACTATTGTGTCCAAAGATCACATGAGATAAGAGTGTAGGATTAAGGAAGTTGATGACATAATTTTATCCATTAAATATAGCTGAACATGAGGGAAAGGTCATTTATACCGATACTGGTAGTTGGAGGAGTAAATGCAACAAAGGAAAGCTTTTTTGCCCTCTCGATATGGTGTTCCTGCCAGAAGAATGAGATGTCATATTTCCATATTTGTTCTTGGAATTATGTACAGCATCCTTTTGGTGGCTAATTTGGCATGTATTAGTGAGAAGTCACTTTCCTTGGTATTAGTTGTAGTGCTTGGTTCAAAATATTTTGTTAGCTTGATTAAAACTTAAATTGGCTGAACAGGTTGGCTTGCGGATTGAGCATCCTCAAGAAGTAATAAACAGCTTACAGGTTTGTTGCATTGTCAGCTTCATTTGAAATTTTTGGATGTATTGTTATTAAGCGAAGCTAATTCTTTTTCCTTTTGTAACTATTTGTTGATTTTTACTTATTACAACAAATATGCAGTATTCTGGATTGGCAACTGAGGTCCGCAGAGGACGTGGTAAAGTACCAGTGGCAGATTACAAGGTTGCCAAATATGCAAGTGGAAAGGATGGGGATGAACCTTTACAGGCAACAAGTCGCAGTTGCTATTCCTTCTGTATGTGTCCCGGTGGTCAGGTATGTTTTTCTGTTTTTGAATTTCTGGTGGTCAGAATCATATTTGCATTGCAAATGTCTGGTGAAGAATGATCATATATATTACTCTAGGAGTCACTGAGATGGTATTTGCAGGTTGTTCTCACTGGTACAAAGCCATCTGAAATCTGTATCAATGGCATGTCATTTTCTAGACGTGCGTCAAAGTGGGCAAATGCTGCACTTGTTGTAACCGTCTCAATGAAAGATTTTGATGCATTGAATCTCCATGGACCTCTTGCAGGGGTTGAGTTTCAGGTAACTTTTCCCTTAGTATTTCTGATGTTCTTTTGTCTGCAGTTTTGTATTCCTTTATTTACCTACCAGCTGTTATGACTAAATTTTTTTCTTCTGTATGATATGAAACAAACTCTTCTGAGTGCTGTGCTAATGTCATAGAACATGCAGAAAAGGGTCTTTCAGCCTGGTTGGACATTCATAATTTCAGCTGAAATGCATTATAACATGTTCTAATGTTGTAATTTTTTTAGAGGGAATTTGAGCAAAGAGCAGCTAGAATGGGAGGGGGAAATTTTGTGGTGCCTGTGCAGACAGTTACGGATTTTTTGGACAATAAATTGTCAGGTAGGATTGCTAAGCCATTTCTTATTAGTTTTGCATCAATTGTTCAGCAAGCTAAGCTTGGCTCTTTGTTTTTTTTTTTGTTCCAGTGACATCTATGCCACCTTCAAGTTATCGACTAGGAGTGAAGGCAGCAAATCTCCACGAGATATTCCCCATTCATATAACAGAGACTTTGCAAAATTCAATCTCAGCATTTGACCAAGAGGTTTTACTTTACTTCTCTTGTAATTGTTAACTGCCTTTAATACTCTTGATGAATGCACAAAAGATTACTGATATACTTGGCTTGTTGCGGACTTTGGAGCCTTCAGTTACCAGGTTTTATCTCCAAAGAGGCCCTTCTTCATGGAGTGGAGGTAATCCCAGTTAATTATATTTGTTTTTCCCTTTTAGTTTCTTTTTATGTCAACAGGATGTAACATAATAAATAGTCTGTACCACCACCAAAGAATTATCGTTATTGATGTCAGTATCTTAATCAATTATAAAATCATTAAATCTGCTTCCAGACTAGGACTAGCTCTCCCATCCAGATTCCCCGTGGAATTGACACTTATGAGAGCACGTCGTTGAAAGGTCTTTACCCTGTTGGCGAAGGAGCGGGTTATGCTGGAGGGATTGTAAGTGCAGCTGTGGATGGCATGTATGCTGGTTTTGCAGTGGCAAAGAATTTTGGTCTGTGTAATGATGGCATAGAGTCAATTTTGGGCAAGGCTCGGACTGCTGGATATTTGGAGTACTAGAAACATATTTGGTGTTTCTTAAAGTTGGTTCCAAGTGCCCTGCAAAAGAAGCTCAATCATCTGCATCGAAGAGCTGAGGTAGATATTAACATTGGTTTCGCATTAACTCAGACTTCTATGGAAACTTGAGCTAGTATGTGCTTACTTCTTTAGAAACAAACCATGAAGGAATTAGTACGTTATTCAGCAGCTTGATAAGATTTATTGTTCCATCAAAGATTCAAATTCGGTACTGTAGTAGAGCAATCTGGTTGATGCATTT